ACAGCTGGTCTAATAAGAAAAACAATAACAGAGTTGTTTACGGGTGTAACATAATTCACCACTTAGCAGAGTTGCATTTTGTTGTGGTTGGATATAGAGAAAAAGTAACGGTATTAAGGAAAATTGAATAGAAATAAAATGTCTACAGAATGTATAGTCCTAAGAGGATTTTCCTAAACTTTTTCTATAAGAAAAAACTGTTATACACACATTTTTTTATAGAAAAAGTTTTCTTCAGAAACTATTTTCGAAAGAAAAAACTGATACCCACTAATTTTTATAAAAATGTTCTATTGAAAAAACTGTTATACACAATATTTCTGTAGAAAAATTGTTATAAATACATTTATTTATAGAAAAAACTGTTATACACAAAATTTTTGGTAGAAAAACTGTTATACACAAATATTCGTAAAGAAAAAAGTATTATACGCAAAATGTTCTGTAAGAAAAACTATTATACACAAAATTGTCTATAGAAAAAACTATTATACACGATTTTTCTATAGAAGAAAACTGTTATACGCAATTTGTCTATAGAAAAAAATTCTTATAGACAAATTTGTGCATAAAAAAGACTGTTATACAAAAATTTATTCGTAGAAAAAACTTTTATGCATAAAATTTTCTACAGAAATAACTGTTATACACAAAATTTTCTATAAAAGAAACTTTTATAAAAAATGTTGCTTCCATAGGAAAAACTGTTATACACAAGTCATAGAAAAAAATGTTATACACCAATTTTTCTATACAAAAGACTGTTATACACCAAATACAAATTTTTCTATAGGAAAAACTGTTATACACAAATTTTTCTATAGAAAAGTGTTATACGCAAATTTTTCCATAGAAAAAAAATGTTATACACAATTTTTTCTATAGAAAAATCTGTTCTACAAATTTTTTCTATAGATAAAACTGTTATACACAAATTTTTCTATAGAAAAAACTGTTATACACAAACTTTTCTATAGATAAAACTGTTATCCACCAATTTTTCTACAGAAAAAAACTGTTATACAAAAATGTTTCTACAGAAGAGAATGTTATACAAAAAATGTATACGCAAATATTTCTAAAGATAAAACTGTTATACACCAATTTTTCTATATAAAAAACTGTTATACAGCAACTTTTCTACAGAAAAAACTGTTATACACCAATTTATCTACAGAAAAAACTGTTATACACTAATTTTTTAACAGGAAAAACTGGTATACACCAACTTTTCTAAGGGAAAAACTGTTATACGCCAATTTTTTCTACAGAAAAACTGTTTTACTCAAACTTTTCTATAGGAAAAACTGTTATACACAAATGTTTCTACAGAAAAGACTGTTATACAAAAAATTTATCTGTAGAAAAAACTGTTATACGGAAAATTTTCTTTAGAAAAACTTATTATATGCAATTTTTCGCAGAAAAAACTGTTATACACAAATTTTCTGTGAAAAAAAACTGTTATACACAAATTTTTCTATAAAAGAAACAGTTTTAAAACAATTTTTTCTATAAAAAAACTTTTATAAACAAATTTTTATATAGAAATATTTGTTAAGGAAAATATTTTCTTTAGAAAAATTTATACCTTTACAAACGTAAAAAGTACTAAACCATCTTTGCACATACAAGCACTATCTTCTTCTCTGTTATATAAAAGAATGTCTTCTTCCCCCTTAGCTTTAAAAACACAAAACATTGCGAGTCAAAGTCTTTCAAATGCATAATTGTTTTTATTTTTTATTTTATTTGATTTATTTAATTTTTCAATTCTATTAGCATGTTTTTTTTTTGGATTTTATTATTTTTAGTACATAATTCTTTTTTTTAGTAGTATTTTTGTTTTATTGAAAAAAATTATTTTTATTATTTGTTTTAATGTTTTTCTTTGCCTTGAAGCATTTGGTTTATTTTTATTAAATAATTTATTTATTTTTAAATTTATTATGGTGCAAATTGTTTGTGTAATTATGGTTTTTATTTTGTTATAAAAATGCTTTCGTTTTAAATTATTTAAAAAAAAAAAATATTTTTTTTTATAATTATAAGACTTATTTATAAACTAAATAAAGAGCCGTTTAAGTTTTAAATTTTCTTTTCGAGAAAAAAATAAATAAGTATGCAACAACCAATTTGTTTTATAAAGTGTTAAATCTTTTTTTTATTTACAATAACTAAATAACAATAACACTATTTAATAGTAATAAATATATTTAAATTACGCTTTTCTTTATTTCTTTCAGTGGTTTTTAAATTTAAATTATTTAGAATATTTTTTTTTGCGTTTTTTTTTGTGTAAAAAATTTTGATTTTTAAATTAGAATTCGAATTAAAGTTACACAACATGTATAAATATTTTTCTTTTATTTGTTTAGTTTTTTTCCAAATTTGCTTTAAATATTACAACATACTTTTACAGCACTGGCTGGGTGGACGAGAACATAAAAATAGAAAAATTTATATTTTTATGTATTTAAGCTAAAATATTTTATGATAAAGGTTTAGTTGACCCAACAACTAGAATAAACACATTAACAAAACAATTTTCTATAGAAAAAAAAACTGTTTTACATGACTTTTTTTATGGAAAAAACTGTTATACACAATTTTTTCTATAGAAAAACCTGTTATACATGAATTTTTCTCTAGAGAAAACTGTTATACAAAAAACTGTTATACGCGATTTTTCTATGGAAAAAACTGTTATACACAAAATTTTCTATAGAAAAAAAGGTTATACACAAATTTTTCTATAGAAAAAGTGTAATACATGAGTTTTCTGTAGAAAAAACTTTTATACACAAATATTTCTGTAGAAAAAACTGTTATACACAAATTTGTCTATAGAAAAAACTGTTATACAAAAATTTTTCTACAGAAAAACTGTTATGCACAAATTTGTTCTATAGGAAAAACTGTTATACACAAATTTTTCTATAGAAAATACTGTTATACGCAAATTTTTCTATAGAAAAAACTGTTATACATAAATTTTGCTATAGAAAAACTTTATACACAAATTTTTCTATATAAATATCTATTATACACATATTTTTCTAAATAAATAACTGTTATACACAAATTTTTCTATAGAAAACTGTTACACAAAATTTTTTTAATAGAAAAACCTGTTATACACAAATTTTTCTATAGAAAAAACTGTTATACACAAATTTTTCTAAAGAATAACTGTTATACACAAATCTTTCATTTAGAAAGATTTGTTATACACAAAATTTTCTATAGAAAAAACTATTATACATAAAATTTTCTGTAGAAAAAACTGTTATAAAAAATTTTCTATAGAAAAAACTGATATATACTAATTTTTCCATAGAAAAAACTGTTATACACAAATTTTTTTATAGAAAAAACTGTTATACGCAAACTTTCTACAGAAAAAACTGCTACACACAAATTTTTCTTATAAAAAACTGTTATATACAAATTTTTCTATAGAAAAACTCTTATACTTAAATTTTTCTATAGAAAAAACTGTTATACACAAATTTTTCTATAGAAAAAACTGTTATACACAAATTTTTCTATAGAAAAAACTGTTATACGCAAATTTTTCTATAGAAAAAACTGTTATACACAAATTTTTCTATAGAAAAAACTGTTATACACAAATTTTTCTATAGAAAAAAACTGTTATACTAAAAATATACACAAAGGTTCTATAGAAAAAACTGTTATACACAAATTTTTCTAAAGAATAATTGTTATACACAAATTTTTCTATAGAATAACTGTTATACACAAAATTTTCTATAGAAAAAACTGTTATAGGCAAATTTTTCTATAGAAAAAAACTGTTATACACAAATTTTTCTATAGAAAAAACTGTTATAGAAAAAACTGTTATACCCAAAACTATTTTACATAACATTTTCTATAACAATTTTTTTTTTTTAGAAAAAACAGTTATAAACAAATTTGTCTATAGAAAAAACTGTTATACGCAAATTTTTCTATAGAAAAAACTGTTATAGGCAAATTTTTCTATAGAAAAAAACTGTTATACACAAATTTCTCTATAGAAAAAACTGTTATAGAAAAAAACTGTTATACCCAATTTTTTTTACAGTGAACGCCATTTTGAAAAAGTGTCGCCAAATTAATATTTTTTTATAGCGTTTAAAGTCTTTAAATTTAACAACTAAAAAATTTAATTTATATAACTATTTAATAATATTTTATAATAATAATTATGAAAGCCTGATTACATGATTATCATTATTATTATTTATATTTTTAATTATTATTTTTTATATTATATAATAAATAATTGATGATGAGAAAAAATGTTTTTATAATTGTTTTCTTTTTTTTTTCAAATATAAATTAAATTTTTATTAATTATTCGTTTTTCCGTCTGTTTTTTTTATTAATTTAAATTACAATTATTTAAAGCTGTGAGTTTTTTGCAATACGCATTTAATATTTTATTATTTGTTTTAATATTATAAATATTTTGTTTTTGTTAAATTATTATTTTAAAATTAAAGGTAGCTTAATGTTTAAGGTTTATTAATAATAATGCTAATTTTCTTTTTTTTTTTAATTTATATATAAATTAATTTTTTTTTTTTGTTTTTTTTTAATGCTATTTATTATCAGAAAGAGCTTGACAATTAATAAAAAAATATTTATATTATTAGTTAAGTGTATGTATAAATATTTTTATTATTTTTTTTTTTGTTTTTTTATAAGATTTTTTTCTTGTAATTTGTACCAATTGAAGTAAATATATAATATTTTTTTAAGGTTTTTTACAATATTTTTTTGTTGTTATTTTAGAATGCCAGTTTGTTGGTTTTTGTTAATTAAATATTTTAGCTATTTTATTGCAGTTGTAATTATTTTTATTATTTTTTAAGTTGAACTATCGTAGTTCATATTACAAAAAATAAAAAAACAAAGCATATAAAAAGTCATGAATGAATGAAATATATTAGGTCTACAGATCTTCTTTATAGAATTTAAACACCCAAAATGTTTGAACGATTTTTTTATAAACTATTTGCTAGAACCTTTTATGAATCCAAAAAAAAAATTATTAATTTTTTTTTAAATCGGCAGTAGTTTCGAAAAAATGGGTTTATATTGACCCCTATTACATTAAACAACTAGTTTAGTTTTTATAACTTTTCAGGGAAAGAATTTCTGAGGATGCATATATAATTCCAAAATTTGACATCTGACCCTAAGGAATTTTTTTTAAAATTTATAATGCCAAAAAAATCCATAGAAAGCTTGAGAAAAAGAATTAGATAAAAATCTATTCCCATCTGGGGGACTATCCAAAAGAGATCAGCTAATCGAATATCTGAGGACTTTCACTTGAGTTACAATTGACAAATAATGTATATTCAATCTGAAAGCAAAATTACTGGAATATCTGTTGATAGGTGTTTGATGTTGCCAAATGTTTCAAGCAATTCAAGATCATGAGATAGAAAAGCCCATTCTTCTGGCATTTGATTGTTAACTATGACCCCATACAAAGATACAAATGGACTACTTAGTCTCATCTTTTTTGCTAACGAATGTTAAGAACGTTAGTTCCTCTATTAAGAATTCTGAAGGACGGAGTGTCTTGCACAAGAAAACTATATAAGAAAAACAATAAGAAGGAAATGATTTCTGGATAAGAATTTTTTCGGTATCCATTCGACTATTTCGTCACTGTTAAGGCATTAAATATGGACCTGTTAAGGCATTAAATATGGACCTGTGGTTTATCTAACTTTCATGGACAAGGAATTTACTTTGGCAGCGGATAATACTCCGAATACAACCGATTCTTTAGAAGTAGGCATTGTCTGAAGAATTTCTGGAATATATGCCCAAACATAAGACCGTTTCGTAATGAAAACGTTCCTTTTCATGTTGGAAAGACCAGACCAAAAACTATTTACAAAATATTAGTTGGAAAGTTCGCACTAATCGGCTATTTAGTCCAAACCATTCCCGTTTGGCTATTGGTTCGATCTCTCTCTTTCTGAAGTAATCCTTTATTTCAAAACAAATTACCCAAAATTGGCTTATCTCTTCTTCACCCAAAACATATGCTCGGAGAGTATATGTTGCCAGAACGAAAGATTAACTTTAGATATACATCTATAAATATTGAACGGTTCCTGAATCGTTTAAAGCAGAACTTCTCTTTTTCTCAAGTAATCCTTTATTTCAAAACAAGGTATAGGAAATTTGCTTGATTCTTTCTTCGCTCCAAAACATAGGCTCGCAGTTCATAGGTTTCCTGAAAGATTTTAAAAGTTTTTATATAGCTAAAGATATCCTATAGTTTTAAAAAAGTGTATACTATATCAATGGTCAAATTTTTGTATATCTCTCTGGACCGATTTTCCGGGAATTTAGTGTAAGGATTTTCTCATTTATTATAAACCTATTGGTATTCGAAAACGACCTTTATCGGGGCTTTAGTCAATCAGTCATATATATATAGATTTTTGAAGGAGGTTTTATGTGGGGCTTAGGTCATAATATGGAACGTTCCTCATAAAGTTTGGTAAAGGTATTGTGGTCTACATAAAATCTTTTTATGTCTACCTTTATCGGAATATTTTAAAAAAGGTGATTTTTCTAAAGTGGAACCTAGTAATGTTTCCTAATGTTTGCCGATTCGAACTTTATAGATGTTTAAAGTAAATTATGTAAAATGTGATTACTATCGGACTATAAGGAAAGATGGACCGATTTAAAAAAATAGGGTCTGTTTTTACAGAATTATTTAAAAAATAGCGACCTGTAGTTAAGCTTAGCCAACTCAGAAAGTGATTCTGAGACGATTACAACCCTTTATGAAAATTAGTTTTAGGAAGAGTTTATGAAATTGCTCTTAAATTAAGTCGATTTCGAAACTATTTAGGCGATTTATTGAAGATATTTATTAGTTAAATTTTAAAAAAGGTAATTTTCTAAAGGGGCACCTTGTATGGGGGCTAGGGTTATTCCTAACTTTATAGATGTATCTAATTCAGTTGTTACCGGTGTATATGTATGGGGGACTATAGGGAAAAAGGGACCCATTGCAAAGGAAATAGGGTTCGCTTTAAAACATATAGAATTCTTTTAAAACTAGCGATCTGTAGTTAAGCTTAATCGACTCAGAAAGTGTTTATTAGCCGATTACAACTCTTTATGAAAATGAGTTGAGGAAAGTTTATGAAATTGCTCTTAAATTCAGACGATTTCAAGTCTATTTAGGCGATTTATTGAATTATTTATACGTTAAATCTAAAAAAAGGTAATTTTCTAGAGGGGAACCTTGGGGGCTAGGGTCTAATGTTGCCCCTAACTTCATAGATGTTTAAAATAACTTGTGTCAACTTTGGTTACTATTGCTCTATATGTATGGGGGTTATAAGGAAAAATGAGCCGATTTTAAAGAAAATACAGTTTTATAGAATTCTTTTAAAAATAGCGACCTGTAGTTAAGCTTAAACGACTCAGAGCCGTTTATAACACTTTATGAAAATGAGGTTTAGGTAGATTTTATGAAATTGCTCTTAAATTAAAACGATTTCGAGTCTATTTAGGCGATTTAATTGAAGGTATTTAGGTTATATCATTATAACAATGATTTCATTTCATTTTTAATATCGTTATATGATGTATTTTTTTACAAAAAAAAAAAAAATTATGAATGCATAAATAGTTTATATATTTTTTTCATTAATTATACTAATTGAATGTAATTTTCTTTATGTTTATTATTAAATTGCATTGCATTTTGTTGTTTTTTTTTAAGATTTTTTTTTTTAAATTTATTTTATAAGATTATTGCAGTTTATTGCACTAATTATCTAAAGTAGAGTATTTTATTTTTTTAGTAAATAAAAATTTCTTTTTTAACTTTTTAATCCATTTAGGGATTTTGTTCCAAAAACGTTTTGTTGTTGTTGTTGTTGTATTCGCTAAATTATGTTTACTCCAGTTCTTAGAGGGAATTCTATTTTATACAGCCGCCACCGGCCCAGGTGGAGTTGAAATACTCGTCGTCATGGTTTTACTTAGGTTTCTGGAAAAAGCATAAAGTATTTGTAAACAAATTTTATTTAATTTTTTTCTTTTGGAGTTAGAAAAAGCTTAATAACTAAAGCTTAACTTAAAGTTAAACTTTAGTTATAAAACTTTAGTGTTTGAAATTTTTTTTTGTAATTTTTTGCACAAGCTTTAGAAATTTAAAACAAACTTAAAAAAAATGCCTTAATTTAGCCAATAACCAGCCCAGTTGTAGAACAAAAATTTTTTTAAGAGAATTATATAGAAATTGTAGAAAAATTTTAAGGCAACCTTACAACAATAATAATAATAATAATATAGAGTCATACACACAAATATTTATAAAGGATTTTAGTCTAAAATATGAGCCCCGATGTTTAAAGCAAAAATTTCTGTTTTTTTCCTAGTTTAACAATTAGAGAGCAGCGCTTATATAATGCATGAAAATCAATCAATTGTGGAAATTAAACCCAATCATTGAAATGTACTCACCAGACATCCTTTAACAGCAGCTGCTTAAAATGGTGAGTTACTAAATGAAGGGGAGGGGGAGGGTTTAAAGTTTAGAAACATCTTCTTAAACCTACATATATATATATATATATAGAGACTTTTAAACTAATTTAACTACAGAATTGAAATTGTTATTAATTCTTAAGCTTTAAGCAGTTGTATTTTAACTTTCATTTCTTTAATTTATCAAATATATATAAAGCTATAGTTAGATCACAGTAGAAAACAAGATTCCTTTTTTTCTGGTTTTGTCCTGGAAACGAAAATGTGATAGAGACAACTAAATGAAAAAACTAAAACTGACACAGACGTTTGATTTTGTCATAATAATTACCCTCAATAAGTAGTAGTAGTAGTAGAAGTAGTGATAGTAGTAGTAAATCCAGTTATATGTGCGTTTTAGACGTAGTAGTATCACAGGTTAACAAGCAGGGGTTTTCATTTTTGCTTACGAGTACAAATATTAGTCTTTCCTTTGTCGGCTACTTGGACATATCCTTTATGGTACGATGATTTGGCAGTAGTTCAGCATATATAGAGCAGCAATATTGATAGGCATGTCAGCAGATTCTATAGGTTTTGTTGTTTATTTTTTTAATATATACATAAAATATTAACACAGAAACATTAAAGACAAAAACATACACCACAAGCTCAATCAAAAGTAGAAATTAGGATATTTTTAATGAATATTTAAAAATTTATATTTAATTTTAGAGGTCATGCAGAAATTTGTTAGTAAAAAAATTTAAATTTTTTCTAAATACTCTTTGATTTTTTTATAGAAATAATTGTACTAAACTACGAAGAATTTCTATATGCTGATCGTATTAAGTAATCCTTTAAGGAGTTTTCTAGTCCAATATTTATTTAACTAAATATACAAAAAAATGTAAATAAATTTCTAAGTACTTAGAGGAATGGCAAAGATTTGTATAAAAAGTAATTCAAAAATTATAAAACGATATATCAGTTGACATCGAAATTTGTTCCTTAAATGGCCGACACTAACGAAAAGGGAGAAACACATTGCAATAGGTATATATAGCGATGTTTCGTCAGCATTAGATAAATATCAGGTATTACCATATCTTGTGAAAACTGTTACTATCAAGGAAAGAGATATATCTTTACAATAAAAGATCTTAGCTCCCTAGAAACAACTTCTGCTAAAGCTAACGTGACAAACAAGATATCACCCACTTTCTAACTCTAACAGAATATAGGTTTAGCTTATAGTCACTTATAGTAAGATTTAAGGGATTTATGAGAATTGAACATTCGGAAGCTAAACTCCATTATAACCTATAATGGATCACAATATTATCAAATTTGGTATTTAGTTTAAAAACAAGGTAAAAACAATTACAAGAATAGGTCGTGCATAAGACCATTGAATTCTCAATCTGTAACGCTAAGATCGGTCAAATAGTTTATTTTTACCATATTTCTCATCTAATTTATGAAGCTTTTCCTATATGATCGAAATGGGGTCTCAACTATGAAACCGCATTTTATACTCTGGTGGACTATTTTGAACAAAAAGTATGACGTAATACAATTACGTAAAATATCTTAACTCCCTACGTAAAAGATCTTAACTCCCTAGAAACAACCTCTGCTAAAGCTAACGTGACAAACAAGATATTTCCCACTTTCTAACTCTAACAGAATATAGGTTTAGCTCGTTAAGCAGCCATTTATAATAAGATTTATGGGATTTATGAGAATTGAACATTCGGAAGCTAAATTCCATTATAACCTATAATGGATCACAATATTAATGCAAATACTTTTTGGTATTTAGTTTAAAAACGAGGTAAAAACAATTACACGAATAGGTCGTACATAAGACCATTGAATTCTCAATCTGGAACGCTAAGATCGGTCAAATAGTTTATTTTTACCTTTTTTCCCATCATCACTTAAGAAGCTTTTCCTATATGATCGAAATGGGGTCTCAACTGAAATGAAACCCCATTCTATAATCTGGTGGACTATTTTGAACAAAATGTATGACGTAATACAATTATGGAGAATGTCGAAGTGCTTTGCGTGAACACCTGCCATGTTGGAGTATTTCACGGTGGTCTTTTTCATCCACTGGTTGAGCAAAATATAACGACTCCCCGCCCCATTGTGTATCTTACACGCCGGTGGCAATTTACGTATATGGATGCCGGTCCATTATACGCGCACTTTGTTGAAGTACTTGAGCTATCTAATCTCTTGCCATAGTAGCCCCTTTGGGGAAGAACAGGTGTCATGAGCAAGCTCAATCTAACCCCGACAAAGGTAAAGGCAATCACTGGTTAGAGTCAAAAGAAGAGGCGTACCCAACATCAGTTGAAAACACCATATTGATGTTATGAGGAATGCTCGTGTCCCTACAAAACATTCTCATTATCTAAAGATTCATTCATGGACCACTTAAAGTCGCCCAACCACACTACTGAGATGGCTTCTGTTGGTTTAGCAACAGCACCTAGAGACGACGTATTTGGTAGCTTGAAATACCCAAGATAATAAATCAGGATCGATCTTCATGAACCGATCTGTAACAAAGGATGTAAGAATTTCCAAAGTCAACTGAACCCAATAATTACCCCGACAAATCGTCGAGTAGCAAGAATCAATATATCCTGTTGAGATGGCAACAGCACCGAGAAACTTGCCCGAAGCGTAAAAAGGCATACTAAATCAGTACTAGTCTCCAATATATGGAGAATTTCCCAATCTTTCACCAATTTTTGCATCAGTTCCATTCCCATGATCATAAAGATCTTTCTACGGAATCACTAACTTGACAATTCCCCAGCATATACCGGCTCCCTACTACACGACCGGTAAGCAATACCAATCGGGTTCAGGAATCCAGCATATGCTGCTTTGTACACAGACCTGTGTCATTTGAATAGAGAATTAGGGTATATCAGCCCTTAAACAAACGATCTCTTCCCACGAATTTGAAATTGCAATACACCATGATGGGACATTTCATCATGGAAACACGCCCCGGGAGGAACCATTACGGAGAAGAGAGAAGAATGCTCAGGTGGCAAATAACTTGAACATAACTATGTCTATAATAGCAGCCCCTCGCGAAATAACGGATATACACCGACCCCGATAAGTTTTAATGGAATCGTTAGTTTAGAGCCTACAAAAAGGCCGAGCGCAAAATCAGATGAACAGACTACTGGTACCATACGGCAGAAGGTGAATGCCCTTTGATGCCGTAAAAGAATCATTAATGCACTCCTCAACCTCTTAAAGACCGCGCAACCGCACTATTGAGATGGATCTGATGATTCATCAACTGCGCATAGGGATGGAATTGTTAGACCTTAGAACGGATTCCATATACAATATGATAAGACTTATTTCCTTTGAAATTTGTGTAAACTCCAAACACACTCAACCATGAAGGAAATTCACCAGTAAAATAAAGATTAAAGGATCATCTATGCAGCATAACCAACATCAAATTTCGTAATTTTAACCAACGTCAATCAGGTGAAACAAATATCCAACCATTATCCAACTCCCATCACTCAATTTTTGTATTATCAGCTTATTTCCAGCATTTTAGTTCACAGCCTATCCTACAGCTTATACTGTTTTCAGAAACTAGGTACGGTAACAGATACTTTTCCCGAAGAAACCTCATCCTTCGATCAGACTCGACAAGCCCTGCGAGCAATTGATTCCTGTAGTACCAGATTATGTGGTTCTCTGGTTAGACCCTGATTCAAAACACTCCAAAGGAGTCAAATGACTCTTCCAATTTTTCGTTGCGACAAACTGGGATTGCAATGATAAAGGTTCGGGCGTCTTTGTGTATAAATGGGTCCATAAGCACTACGTCTACCAAAGCTTTAGAAACATTTCTTCGATCAAAACACATGTAAAATAAGAGGCGACACTCACAGCCGAGCGGTTCATATCTTTAGGTGAATTGACCAAATTGACCATATTGACAGCATAGACATGCCCAATCGCATACAGAAATTGTCGGGAACTGTGAAACTTTAGTCTCAGTTAGGAGATCGTGAACAAGCAGAGCATTAAGCAAAAACCTGCGGAAATCTCTTCTTACACGAATGACTCTAAACTGGGAAAAATGACTCTAAACTGGGAAACAAAACTTGGAAGCACCCAGTTCCAAGTGAAAGTTACCATATTTTTCGACAGCTAGAAGGAAATTAGGTCGATATGAGATGATATGGATAAATCAAAGACCATATTTGACTGTAAGAGAGTCTTAAACGAATACCCTTCCAGAGGTTGGTTTGGTTTCATATGGATACCAGGCGCCTGGGGTTTATTCGTCAACAAACGACGGGACATACTTGCTATAAAGGGAACAAGAGTAGGATCACTATAATTTCTGGAGTGACCCTAACGAAAACTTTCTGAACATTGGACGATAATTATTTTATTATTGAAAGATAGTAAGCTTGATGGCAGAAGTTTAATGGGAACCTAAAGAATTTTATGTCTGAATCAATGTCGAGAGATGTACCAAACTTATCTGTTGTCAGGAATTACGTCAATACTTTTGTGCATTGTATTCTTTTAGGGTTATTCGCATTACTTGAAGGTGAAATGATTGTTGCTCTAAATGATGTTTTATTCATTCTTAGACGATAAGAATGTTTAATAGATGTATGCCTTATATTTGGTTTGGAATTCATTAACGATTTCATGGCAATTACTCTGGAGGTCATTCGTTCCAATTTTTTCAGCAGAACTTCACACAAATTATTCGTAGCAGTCATATAAAGGTTGGAGTGCAATTGATGGTATGAGGATGAAATGATCTTCCGAAGCATGAGTTTTCTTAGCAGATCGACATCTAATAAACTCTAAACTAATTTCGTATGTATAAAAAATTCAAATTTTCCAAAAATTGATCGGACGTAGGTAGATTGAAAAATAGTGGTAGAGATAGCCAGTGATCTCTCTTTAAGAGAACGCATGTATAATAGAAACAAAGAGATTATTTCTGATGGAGATGTGTGATCTAAACGACTTCCATAAAATCCTAAAATCGACAGTAGTTTCCTAACATCTACATATACATATAACTTTCCAACATTATAACTAGGGATCTTAAAAAAGGGAAACGATGTTACAAAATAGTAAATATTTACAAATTTAGATCAATTCTCTTACAGTTAAGCTACAAAATTACAAGAAGAAAAATAGATAGAAATAGAGAGCAAAATTTTTGAACAAGCAAAGCATATCTAAGTAGTATAAAAGCCAAAGTTTAGCTAAAAGCCTAAATAAATACTCCAACTAACTGTTTAGCCTAACATACTAGCTTCAAATTTGACAAACGTATCAAAAGCAATATTAGTTAGTAATAAAAAAAAAAATTAAAACAAATAAAACTGAATAAAAAATAAAAACAACTGATCCACTTACCCTTGCACCGAATTGGAAGTTGATATAACACCATTATCCAATGAATCCCTGGATAGTTCATCGGCCATCTGGACTTTTAGCTGATGGCCAAAGGAGTTAATCTCCGAATTCGGAGTCAACTGGGAACCAGGTGTTTGAACACGATACTGGCCCGGTGTTGTTACCGAACCATGTTGTGATATGGAGGTGGTCATGCCGGGACCACCATTTGGTAGAACGCCATCAACTATGCAACTCTCGCCAGTCGTCGAGTCGTGTATATTGATAATTTGACTGCCGGCGGCATTATCAGCCAGCGCAGCACCATCACTATCGTCCACACCCTCGTCATCGATATCCATATCTTCGGCATTCTTATCCAACGGAGCCGTTTCCTCGTCCTCATTGTAGATTTTAAAGTAGGCATAGGTCAAATAGATCACAGATATAATGAACGAGGGTATGGGAATGGCCATGGAATACACCAAATTTAGGGTATTCTGCCAATAGTCCAAATGACTAATGACCACACTAGGATCCACTTTTGAGTAGTAGCAGGGAAATTTAACACCAATTGTCGTATAGCGCTTCAGCCATATGGTGCAATTTAACATGGGCGGATAACCACAACCCTTGACATTAGGATACAGATGGGCACCAACGAAAAAATACATGCCGCTATTGTTTATAAGGCCTCTATTCAATTCCGATATTTCCTCGAAGACATCATTGCCATCGGCATTGATGAATGTATTATCGGGATCTATAGCAGAATCTTCTATAAGATAACCATTCGAACCGTCTTCATCACCAAAGGTTAAATGTTCCATAACCATGCCACCGCCGCCACCCCCCACACCACCTACAGCATTTCCACCACCCTCTAAAGAACTGATCATGGGATCACTGCCACCCAAATCGTATTCATAATCATCACGTATGGCACGCGTATAACGATCGGTACGCTTTACAGGTGGCACATACTTTTCGGACTCCTTGAGATTTATATGATACTCGGTGACATTAAACTCATCCGTATAGTTGTACATATTGAGGCGATAGTTCACCAGAATCTGAGTACAATCATAGATTTCCTTAGTACAGCCCTCACGACATGATGCCCAACTGCAGTTGCGCGCACCAAAACGTCGTACATTGGAAAAGGTTTCGCACAGAGCGGGCACCTCTTCAAATTCCATAAAAATGGTAGTAAAAGCTGGCTCTATGACGAATGGTACCAAAAATAAAAATGCAAACAGGCTAAATGTACCAAGCAATATGAAAAAGGCAGTTGTATAAAAGAGTAATTTCTCTCTGAGAGTACGTTCATCGATTTCATCACCCATTTTTTTGTTTGAGAATTATTATTTTATTTTTTTTAATTTTATTTGGAGTATTTCTTTATATATTTAACTTAAGTTTATTAATTAAATTTTAATTAATATTATTACTAATTTAAAGCGTGTGGGTTTTCGTTTTTTTGTTGTTGTTGTTATTATTAGCGAGCTGGTTTAATTATGAGAATAGAAGTTAAAGAGATTATTTATTTTTTAATTTTAAAAATTTATTTTATTTATTTATTAGCGTAGTTAGTGTGTAGTTTTATGTTTTTTTTATAAATATGATTTTTTAGTGCTTTTAATAATTTTTTTTTTTTTGTTATCACAGGGTGTTTTTATCTTCAAAACTAGTAATTATTTTAAATAATTCTTCTTTTTTCTACTTTATATCACTTGCGGTTTTTCGTTTGCAGTTTAAAGTGCGTTTAACTTTTAATCGCCTAAGCTTTCCTAAGCCGTTAACCATAAGTTTAACTTTTCTGAATGTTTCTAATTAAGTTGATCTTTTTAATTGTCTTTTTTTATTGATCAACTCTACGATCAATAATTTTTTTTCTAATAGTTTTTTTGAGGTTTCTTGAGCTTTTAACCGTACTTTAAATGTTTAATTTTATAATATTTCACTTATTAAAACTGATCACTTATTTTTAAACCGATCATGTCATTTCGAACGATCAGTTTCTCAAACTATATTTTAATAATTTTTCATTCCTTTAACATTTCATTTAAGTTTAACTTCTCTTGATTTTTCTCTTTAAACTGATCAGTTCATGTGATCAACATTTAAATTGATCATTTTCGGTTTATTTAAAAGTTTTATTAGTTAAATCTTAATGATCGTTTTATTTTAACTCGTTTATGACACGTTAAACTTTTCATTTAAGTTGTTTTTATTAGTTAAGTTTTAATAACACTCTTTAATAGTTTTTCTCGTTTAGTTTATAGCGCGTTTAACTTTTTAATATCATGAGTTTAAAGTGATCATGTTTTTAGTTTATATTTATTGATCTGTTTTGATCTTCAGGACAAATTTGTGTTTTTTTCAAGATTTTATATTTGTTTTTTCTATAACATATTTAGTTCAGCTGTTTTGCGCGTTTCGGTAAATTTCTCTCTCAATATTGGTTTTATATAAAATTCTTAAAAAAATGTTCTTCAAAATTGAGGTTAGATAAGTTTTTGTTTCCTCTAATGTTGAGCTTATCTCAAATAACACTTTTAATTTCTTTGCTAAGACACTCTTGAGCAGATTACTCTCTCAGTGCTTTGGCGTTTAAATGAGCTTTAATTCGTTTTAAACACAGTTCTCATATTTTGAGGTTAGTTAAGCTGTATTTATTATCTCTCTAAATTTAAGATCATTTCCTTATATTTATCAGTTATAAAGTGTTATTTAGAAAATTCCTCTCTCTCAATACTTTTGAGAGTGTTTTTTTTTTATCGAAATTAATTAAAACTTTTGAGTTTAGTTTTCGCTGAAGTTAGTTTCCTGCAAGTTTCTCTCTCAATACTTCTTAATTGAGGTTATATTAGTTACTGTTCTTGTGAGTTTTTGAGTTATAAATTACTGTAAAGTAACTTTGAGAAATAGAGTTTCAAAAAAATTTCTTGCTTATTTTTAGAGTTATAAGTTTAGGTTTTTCTCAGCTCTTTTTTCTATCAAGAATCCAGTGAATTCTTAGCTGTTAACGCTTCCTCTAGCTTTTGATAAAGCTTTTTCTCAAAATTTATATTTGTGTTTGAGATCTTCTGTTCAATGTTGAGAAATTATTTTCTCTTACAGCTGGAGTGTTTTTAAAGTTGTTCTCTTTCAATGCTGGAGTGTTTTTGTAGAGTAAATCTCATTCTGAAGTGATTTTGATTTTTCTGGGGAGTTATTTTCCTTTCTCCCGAAAGTGTTCTGTTTCTCCCAATGCTGGGGTGTTGTTTTATATTTTCATTCTCCGGAGTGTTTTATTTTCTCTCGAAGCTGGAGTATAATTTAAAAGTATCTCCTTTATTATAAAGTTTATCTCTATCTAAAATGTTTTTTCTCTCAATGCTTGAGAGCTATTTTTAAGATCCTTTATACCAAGAGTGTTCTTTCTCTCAATGCTGAAGAGTCGTTTTAATGTTGTTCTTTTTCTTAACAAACTTTCCTTTCGAAGATAGAGAACTATTTTTAAGATCCTTTAATGCTAAAGTTTCCTTTTCTCTCAATTGCTGGAGTGTTGTTTTAAAGTTGTTATTTTCACAATGCTGGAGTGTTATTTTATAATTTCATTCTCCGTTTTATTACCTCTTGAAGTTGATGTATTTTTTTAGTATCTCCTTTCTCCCGAAATTGTTGTTTCTCTTAAAGCTGGAGTGTTGTTTTAAAGATGTCCCCTTTAATGAGTACTTTTTCTCAATGCTGGAGTGTTGTTTTAAAGTTGCTCTCTTTCTTAGTTGTTATTAAGTTTATCTATAGCTAAAATGTTTTTTCTCTCAATGCTTTTTTTTCACTACTGCTCTTTTTCTAAGAAAACTTTCCACTCAAAGTTATTTTTAAGGTTTTTTCTCCCAAGAGTATCCTTTCTCTCAGTACTGGAGTGTTATTTTAAAGATATCTTCCTTTTAAAGAGTTTTTTCTCAATGCTGGAATGTTGTTTTAAAGTTTCTCTCTTTCTTAGGTGTTATTAAGTTGAAGTTTTTTCTCTCAGTGCTAGAGTGTTCTTATAAAGATTCTCTTACTACCGCTCTTTTTCTTAGTAAACTTTCCACTCGAAGCTAGTGAGCAATTTTTAAGATTTCTTTCTCCCAAAAGTGTTCTTTCTCTCAGTGTTGTTTTAAAGATACCCTGTTTTTAAAGAGTTCTTTTTCTCAATAATAAAATATTGTTTTAAATTTGCTCTCTTTCTGGGCTGTTCTTCCTCACAATGCTGGAGTGTTATTTCAAAGTAGCTCCCTTTTGGAAAGTGCTGTTTCTCTCAGTGCTGGAGTGTTATTTTAAAGTTTCTCTCTAACATAAGCGTTTTTTATGTTGTTTTGTTAGTTTTGTTTCACCTTCATTTACTTTGACTCAATGTCGCGGTAATAAACCAGTAATAAACCTTTTATATGACAATTAATATGTTAATATTTTAATTTGAGCCGTTTTTCATTAAAACAATTTTTCCAAAACCCTTTTAATGTTCAAGGCATTTTTAACGTTTTGCTTAATTGGTTGGTTGTTGTTGCTGCTGAGGATTGGCCTTTATCCTTATTTTAAGCTTAATTAACCCTTTTTTTAAAACATTAAATATTCATATTTTCGCTTAATTGAAATTATTTTGTTTTATACATATATGTATAAGTTAAGCAACAACTGGTATAACGTCAGCCGCCAAAAAAATATAATGAATATTTTGTTGTTTTGTGCGTTTATGCATTTGGCAGTAGAGTAGAGTTGTCTTCAGAAACATGTCATTCCTTTAGTGCTTAATAACACACACACATCCTTGTCAGTCAGTTTTAACGAACTGTGATAGTTTGAGATGACTCTTAATAGTTGTAAAAGTGCTGGGTTTAGCTGGTTTTGACTTCGCTCTAAAAATGTTTTACGAGCCCAAAGGGAATAGTTTTTTAATTAGTTTTTCTGTTTCTTAAAAAAAAACCTTAATGTTAAATTATTTTAAAATATTTTTAAGTTTATTTTAAATATTTTGAAATTTTTTCACTTTTTCGCTCTTTGTGTTGTTGTTGTTATTATAACCTGAGTATTATGCCATAAGTATGTGCTCAAAATAAATTGTTTATTGTTTTTGTTATTTTTGTATGCTTTTTTCTATTTGTTCTTAGACGTTTACTGTAGATATTGCTCTCCTGGCCTTCTTGCTATTGTTCTACGGCATACTCGAGTGTATAACGTTATTAATGACGTAGTCGACGTAACCGTTGACGTAGTTTTTTTTTTTTTTTTTGTATTAATTTATATTTTAATTGTTTAATCTATATTGGTTGTTGTTGTTTAGTTTGTTTATATTTATTTTAAAAATATTAGAACAAATAACTAATTATTTATTGCTTAAACATTGAAAGCTTAAGAGAGAGAGAGAGAGGGAGAGCTTGTGTTAGAGGCTTTTTAAAAAGAAAGAGAGAGTCAGAGAAAGATATAAAGAGCCTTAAAAAGTAAGAGTTTATTAGTTGTATATAATGTTAAAGCCGTAACTAATAGTTTATATATAATATGTTTTATATCCTTAATATTTTATTTCGTCCTTTTCTTTTTTGTAATAATAATAACAATAATAAAACACGTTGGTTTTGGTGATGATGATGATGATGATATTTTGGGGATTTTAGTAATAGAATTAGTTTTGTTGATTTTTTTCTTCAAGGCTGTTCAAACAATTGCTTATATGTTTATAATATAATATTTTTCCAAATTTTCTCTAAATCATTTTTTATATAAAACACAAAAATTTTGATTGTGGACGGACTTAATTTTAAATTAACTTTTTTCGGGAATATTTTTACTTAACCAGTTTTAGCTTATTTTTTTACATTTTTGTTTGCTTTAATTTTACTCTGTTTTAATTTGTTATTATTTACAAATTTTTGGTTTTTAGTTTTTTAGTATTGTTGTTTTTTAACGTTTTTTTAGAATTTCATTTTGCTTTTTAGGAATATTTTTTATGATATTTTATCAGTTTTTTAAGTCTTTAATATTTTTATAATTTTGTTGTTATTGTTGTAATATTTGCTTTTACTTTTTTGCTAAAATAAAAATATTTTTTGTTTTATTTTTATGCCAGTAGTTTATTTAGTTAAATATTAAACAAGTAAGAAATTATTTCATAGAGAAATGTATAGAATTATCTAAGAAATCAGGTATAGTTTCGGAATGTTAATCTCAAAGTTTAGAATAAGCTATGACCTATTATGGCTTAATCCAGAACAAACTTTAAAGAATTTGTTTATGTATAAACAATTAAGAATGTGTAGTCGGTCAACCCTACAACAACAATTTGTTGATAAAAGAAAGGAGATTTTCTATAAGTGTGGTTATATGGGTAAATATGGACCTATCCTTATACATTTATGTACACGGATTTACTTTTAAATTAAAGTTATTTATGAAGAATTTCATCGTGATACTAGTGTTTATAAGTGAATTTTGACCTTCAAGGAAAAGGACTTTCTGTAGGAGCTAGGGTTACAAAAATCTATAGTATCATTTAGACTTATATACAACTAAGTTTTGTGGAGATACTAGAATATTAAACGTAATTATGAGATCGAAAAGCCCTATTAATTTCGGTTGTATAAGGTGAAATAATGGATCGATTTTAACAATTTCAATAGAGTAAAAAAGAATATATGCCAGTATGCATAATTTTATCTTGAAAATTGCGACCTATAGCGGGCGCACAAGGTTACATGGACAGACAGAGAGACAGTCAGACAGACAGACAGACATATAGACAGATAGGTAGGTAGGTAGGTAGGTAGATAGATAGATAGATAGATAGATAGATAGATAGATAGATAGATCGATAGATAGATAGATAGATAGATAGATAGATAGATAGATAGATAGATAGATAGATAGATAGATAGATAGATAGATAGATAGATAGATAGATAGATAGATAGATAGATAGATAGATAGCTAGATAGATAGATAGATAGATAGATAGAATAGATAGATAGATAGATAGATAGCTCGATAGATGATAGATAGCTACTAGATCGATCGCTAGCTAGATCGCTCGATCGCTAGATAGATAGAGATAGATGATCGCCTATCGCTCTCTCGCTCGCTCGCTCGCTCTCGCTCGATCGCTCGCTCGCTCGATCTCTCGCTCGCTCGCTCGCTCGCTCGCTCGCTCGCTCGCTCGCTCGCTCGCTCCCGCTCGCTCGCTCGCTCGCTCGCTCGCTCGCTCGCTCGCTCGCTCGCTGCTCGCTCGCTCGATCGCTCGCTCGCTCGCTCGCTCGCTCGCTCGCTCGCTCTCGCTCGTCGCTCGCTCGCTCGCTCGCCTCGCTCGCTCTCGCTCCTCGCTGCTGCTCGCCTGCTCGCTCGCTCGCTCGCTCGCTCCGCTAGCTCGCTCGCTCGCTCGCTCGCTCGCTAGCTCGCTCGCTCGCTCGCTCCCCGCCGGCCTGGGTCGGGTCTCCCCCCCTCTCATCCCCTTTTCTACCCGCTGTTATCATTAGTTCATGAGTTGTTTAAGGTTAAGTCATTTGCAAAAGTCTACTTTATTTATATGGTTATGGAAATAACCGGGCCAATTGTTTGGACAATTGGCACCAGAAATTGATATACTGCGGAAAAATGTGGCTCTTAGTCCAAATCTATGTTTATCCGCCTCTAGGCGAAATAATGGACCAATTTTAAAAATTTTCAATAGGCTTCGTCCTCGGGTCAAAAGAAAAGTATGTATGTACCAAATTTCATAAAATTATTTTGAAAAATGCGACGTGTAGCGTGCGCATAAAGTTTACATGAACTCACAGACGGACAGACAGACAGACAGATAGACAGACAGACGGACGGACGGACGGATATAGCTTAATCGACTCAAAAAGTGATTCTGAGTATACCGATTAGTATACTTCAACCTCCCCACTATAGTGGTGAAGGGTATAAAAAAGGATATAAAGTAAACCTAATTGTTTACTGGTGCCTTAAATAACACAAGTCCATTCCGGATAATGGTAAGATGAATCGAAAAAAGATTCCCTTTGTACGAAGTATTATAATAGAAATTTGTCTCGCATCTTAAGTGCTTAAAAGATTCTGAAAATGTCTGTTACTAAGTAAATAGCAAAAATTTTAAGAAAATAATGATTTCATATAATTTTTTCATTTAAATCTTATTTTTAAGTAGATTTTGTCATTTGTCTAAATAATATGATTCATATGCATTGCAGACAATTAAATAGCTTGGATATAAATATTAGGATGGTTCATATTAATAATGTGTGAAATGTTTGCCAGTATATCTTAACAAACTTCATCCATAACGTTCGAAGGAATACCAAAGGATAAACATGTTTAAAAGGTAATTATTTGCAAGAAAATTAAAATTTTTTTTGGTTATAAAATTATTAGTTGATTTAAAAAAATAATAAAAATCTGTCACCAATTTTGCAAATTGGAAAACGGCCCTGTTGGGTTAATTGACTTCTTTTAGGGACAAAACATTATATTACAATGTTAGAACTAAAACTGTTGTGTTATTCATATTATTTCTATTACTTTTAAACGAACAGGGAACTAACTGAGTGCAACAGCAGACTAACAAGCACGAGTTCCAAGTTCGTTTCATTGTCGGCTATTTTTTGTATGTAAAACAAAACAAATTACCTAACTACCTATTTGTAATTTTGGTACTTTTTTAATAAAAGTTTATATTCTATTTATAAAACTCTTTGGAGTAATACTTTGGTTTGCATCGTTAGGGAGAAAATGTACCTAAAGTGGTCTAAGAACGGTAAATTTAATTTTATTTAATTATTTCCTTTTGATCCAATTTTGATAGAATTTGCAGATTTATTCACATTAAATGGAGTGTTTTTTTGGTACTTTATGAATGTGTTCACATGAAGACCCCAGATATCTTCGAAATCCAAATCTTTAACAATTCTTTCAGTCATGCTTTCGAGAAGTTCCATATTTCATAATCAGCAAAATCAGTTCATAAATAACGGAGATATGAGCAAAAATCCATTTAACCTCTGAAAATTTCATAAAAAAAGAGTAAGAATTACAGTCGGGCATGGCCGATCATATGATACTCTACACCAGTGATTATGTTACAAATTATTATTAATAATAAAGTATTTAATTTTTACCTTCAGGAATATTTTAACAATTTGTTGACAATAAAAAGGCATTTTCTAAAAGAGGGGTTATATGGGGGCAAGGGGTAAATAGAGGGAATTACGTCTACATCAGTTATTTATGCAGAATAACATCGTGACATTAGTGTTTATAAGTGAATTTTGAACATCAAGTTTCTGAGGTGGACTTTAATGGGGGATAGGGTCAAATGCGGCCCGATCATAAAACTAAGTTTTGCCGATTTTTTAAGTGATACAAGAACATTTAATATATCTATGAGCTCAGAAGCCCTATTCGGGGGGTACGTTTGTATGGGGGCTATACGAAATAAAGGGCCGATTTCAATAGGCTTCGTCCTTGGGTCAAATGAACAGTATGTGCCAAATTTCAGCAAATTATCTTGAAAATTGCGACCTGTAAAGTGCGCACAAGGTTTACAGGGACACACAGAAGGACGAACGTCTGTTCGTCTTGCTGTGACATAGCAAAATCGATTCAGAAAGTCATTCCGAGCCGATTCGTATGCTTTAAGTTGGGGGGTAAGACCAATATTTTTGCCTTTCTGTATGTCTGAAAGGAATTATAGGCTACTTTTTATTTCGAAAATACAAGAAGGGCAGGTGCCACGCCCACATATAAAATAAATCCTAAAAGTCGTATATTTGGTATACTTTAAGTTGGGTGTAGGACCAATATTTTTGCCTTTCTGTATGTCTGAAAGGAATTATAGGCTACTTTTTATTTCGAAACTTCTAGAAGGAGAGGTGCCATGCCCACATATAAATCCTAAAAGTCGTATATTTCAGAAATTGAAAGTTTGTTCGGACAACTTTGATATTCATATGAACATATGGCGTTAAAATGAGCAGAATAGCTATAATTAGTATATCTGAGTCCTTAATTTTGTCGGAATCACTTTAGTGTCATTATTTGTATTTAAGTAAAAAAATGGCCAGACTTGAATTAGGGGGCGTGGCATTCCCCCCATATGAATTAAATAAAAAAATTCGTTTATCTAAGAAACTATTAGAGCTAGAATCTTTAAATTTTGCACAAAAAACTTTAAAGTCCATGTGAACATTTGGGGGGAAAAAATAGGCGAACTTTCATTAGGCGGACTTGAAACCTTCCATATGAATGATATACAAAATTTTGTATATCTGGGAAACTATTAGAATTAGAATTCTCAAATTTTGCACCGAAAGCTCTGACACCAATGTATAATAACTTGGACTAACAATAGGGCTCGTTGTACCTCCCATATGAATTAAAAACAAAACTTCGTATATCTAAAGAAAATATTAGAGATAAAATCCTAAAATTTTTCATGTCCCTAATAATACTATATTTATAACAATTATCAAGGACCTATTGTAAAACTTAAACCATAAAATTTCTTACTTGTTTAATATGTAGTTTATTTTTAAATTTAAATTGTTTTTAATTTTATTTGTATTATTTTATGTATTTTATAACTAGTTAAACATAGATTTTTATTTTTAATACTTTTTTTTTTCATTAATTCTCACTCACTCCTTTAAGTTAATGTAACAATTTTAAGAGTTTTTATTATATTTTTTCCAGCTATATATTTCTATATATATATTTAAATATATATGTATAAATTTTTATGACTTTTTTTTCCGTTGATTTTAATATAAAACCGGGGGGATATTATTTTTAGTGGCGCCACGTTGCC